GTACATTATAGTGGGGGACAGAACATGGGACAATACAGTAACAAAACAAAACACGAGGGAATCAAGGGCCCTGCTCTTACAAGCTTACAATCTAGGAGGGAGGGGATAGTGGTACAGGAGGAATACTGAGGGGGATGGAGTGTGGTACCAGGAGTGGAGGAGATAGGCTGTTAGGTAGGGCCTAGGGTAGGTTTCCCCCCACACCGAGATGGGTTTTCAGGGTGCCAACTCTAAAGGTGAGGAGGGTAGGTGACAGTCTGATGGAGGGTAGTGAGTTCCAGACGATGCGGGAAGTCCTGCGAGAAGTCCTAAAGTCGGGCGATTGCGTGGAGACCAGGGAGCTAGAAAGTAGGAGGTCTTGTGAGGAGCGAAGATTACGGGTTAGGGTGGTAACTCGGTATCAGGTCGGTGAGGTAGTTTGGGGCAGCATCTATGAATGGCTTTGTATGTCAGTGTTAGTAGTTTGAATTTAATGTGTTGGGCAATCGGGAGCCAGTGGAGGGAATGACAGAGGGGGGTGGCAGAAGTGGAGCGGTTGGTAAGGTGGATGAGTCTGGCCGCAGAGTTCAGGATAGACCCTTCACTGAAGCGGGGATAGTCTGCGATGAGGTAGGCCGGTGACCAGGGAGTTGCAGTAGTCCAGACGAGATAATAAGGAGTGAATGAGTTGTTTAGTAGTGTCTGGGGTAGGAACGAACATATTTTGGAGGTAATCGTCTGTATAATACGGTCACCGCAGGCCGGTTACACAGAGGGTTAAACAAACACAGTAGCGTTCTCTTTAGGAATTAGTAAATTGCAATAGAGCTATAGAAACAGATCATCACTTTCAGAAGGAAAGATTTATTACTAAAAGGTCAAACAGGAGCAATAAAAATATTTACAGAAAAGATGTAACTAAGATATATAAATATACAGAGACAACAGCACAGCAAAGAGATATCAGAGAGAGGTGAAAGGGTTCAGGTACTTGCCAAAGTCCTCGGTTAGTAGATCCAAGTTTCAGAGCGAAAGGGCCCGGGTCTCCCCAGGGGGTACTGATGTTAAAATGGGAGACATCTTCAACTTTTTTCTCTTAGGCCTGACAGCCTATTTTTCAGTCCCCAGCAGGGGGTGTCTGAAGTCAAGGACCAATATTCAGTGTAGGGCGTGGAGATATGGGTGGATACCTCAACTAAAGCAAAAATCTCCCATAACTCATATTTTGGCCCATAACTTTCCATCTGTACCAGTGACAATTCACCCATGGGTAGATATGCAGACACATCTGAGGATTGATTAGATATGAATGATGAAAAATATACACTGAACGGTTCACAAGATCTACTTTTCTGCTTTCCTATGTATTTGAGACAATGCGAGTGACCTATCAAACTGTTTGTCTCCTCTTAGCCAATCTGACAATATGTCCGGTTTTTATGTAAGTCTCATATTCGAAGATAGGAGACATTGGGGAAAATGGATTTTAACAAAGGTTATCGGGTTGTGTTTCCTGGGAATGTTCTTTGAACTCCGGGGAAAGCTTACCTTATATGAGGTGTTACATTGCACAGGTTCTTTGGACAGGGAGGCCCAGGCTCCCTTGGGGACTTTATAGCTGCTGGGCCCTGGTCTCCTGCGACACACACACACACACACACACACACCAAATGTCGCTGTGACTCTCAGAGAGGGGTGGGGGAAATATGTTTGTCAGGATAGGTAACCCCTTGGCCAAGATGGAGGTTGAAGCCAAAATGGTTGAACCGCGTCCGTCTCTGGGTGTACGCCTGCCACACCCCCCACCGCCGATCGTCTCTGACACCCACAGAGAACCAACAATCATCATCGAGATCCCACCAACACTGAAATCCCCCATCGATCATCTCAGAAACCTACTGTCCCCCTACAACGATCACCGGGATCGCACCATACCACCAACACCTCCCACCAAGACTGTGCCCCACCCCAACTGAAGTCTCTGGATAATACAGAGTGTGATCAACCACCAATACCGAGATCTCCCCACACTAATAGTCTCCATGACCTACCCCCCCGCAACCATCACTGAGATCTCACCATACCAACACTGATCTTCACTGAGATCCCCCAATGATCAATGTTTCCAGAGCATACAGAGTCTGACCCATCACCAATAATGAGATCTCCTTACACACCGAGACCTACTATCCCCCCCCCCCCCCCCCCACAACCATCACCGACATCGCACCATACCACCAAACACCAATTGTCACCGAGATCTCCCACTGACCGAAGTCTCCAGAGAGTACAGAGCCTGACCGACCACCAATACTGAGATCCCCTCACACACCAAGACCTACCACCTTTTCACCACTGATCATCACCAAGACCTACCACCCCCCCCCCCCCACACAACCATCACCAAGATTTCATCATACCACTACTTCCCACTGAGATCCTTCACTGACCGAAGTCTCCAGATAGTACAGAGCCTGACCAACCCCCAATACTGAGATCTCACACACCGAGATCTACCACCTTTCCACCACCAATCATCACCAAGACCACCCACCCCCCACAACCATCACACCATACCACCACCTCCTACCTAGATCCCCCACTGACCGAAGCCTCCAGAGAGTACAGAGCTTGACTGAACACCAATACTGAGATCTGACTCAAGTGATAGTCATTGAGATCCCACCATACCACCAAGATTGCCCCACTGACCACCACCAATATTGAGACCTCCCAACCCCCTACACTGACCTCCAACAAAAACTAACACCTCCCCCCCGCTATGCAACCAACACTTCCCCCACAGCAATTTCTTCCAACTAGAGAACACCCACTGACCCCCAACAGGTACCCCCTCAAGTTGGACTTTGACACCCATTGGAAGGGTATGGGGTCTTGGAATAGGTGACCTCCAGACGGCAGATGGTGGGTGCAGTGGGATCAGGTCATAGTACACGGGGTGATTCCTCGCTCATCGAAGGGGTTTGGGGTCTTGGAATAGGTGACCTCCAGACGGCAGATGGTGGGTGCAGTGGGATCAGGTCATAGTACACGGGGTGATTCCTCGCTCATCGAAGGGGTTTGGGGTCTTGGAATAGGTGAACTCCAGGCAGCAGATGGTCGGTGAAGTGGGATCAGGTCATAGTACACGGGGTGATTCCTCGCTCATCGAAGGGGTTTGGGGTCTTGGAATAGGTGAACTCCAGGCGGCAGATGGTCGGTGTTCTGTTCTCTTATGGTACATCACATCTTTCAGGCATTCCTAGGAAGGTGTATGGCTGGTGTTATCCCCATGTGGGGGGGGTTAGTGACAATGGCCCCATTCACCATCCTGTGTGGTCCTGGCAGGCGCCCAGCACAGAGCTGTGTACAGAGAGCCAGGCAGGCTATAAATGTCCCTGGCATAGGTCTCCTCCATGTCCCATAGTGCCAGGACTCTGCTGACTGCTTTGTCAGTATCAGTAATATTGGGGTACTCCCCGACTCTGACATCCAACTGCACACAAGGCGTCTTATCCGGTGTGTTTCATGTGTAGTGAGATTGCAGAGTTCTGGGAGGGTGGAATCAGGCTGTTATACAGGGGGCTGGGGGCATTATAGGGGGTTGTTATACGGTGGGGTATTTGTGATCAGTATTCTAGATGGTTGTTATAAAGGGGGTGGGGATAGTATAGGGGTTGTTATACATGGGGGTGGGAGTATATTATATGGGGATGTAATACGGGGGGGGGGGATCTTATAGGGAGTTGTTACACAGGGGGTCGGGTCTCGTCTCCTGTAGCGGATGTTGCCTGGGGCCGGACTCGGGGGTCTCGTCTCCTGTAGCGGATGTTGCCTGGGTCCGGAATTCTCGGGGGTCTCGTCTCCTGTAGAGGATGTTGCCGGGGGTCTCGTCTCCTGTAGAGGATGTTACCGGGGGTCTCGTCTCCTGTAGAGGACGTTGCCTGGGGCCGGACTCGGGGGTCTCGTCTCCTTTAGAGGATGTTGGGGGGCGGGGCTCGTTGCCTGGGGCCGGACTCGGGGGGGGGGGGGGGGGGGGGGGGTGGTCTCGTTTGCCTGGGGCCGGACTCGGGGGGGGGGGGGGGGGGGGCTCGTTGCCTGGGGTCGGACTCGGGGGGGGGGGGGGGGGGGCTCGTCGCCTGGGGCCGGACTCGGGGGGGGGGGGGGGGGGGGGGGGGGGGGGGTCTCCTGTAGAGGACGTTGCCTGGGGCCGGACGGGGGGGGGGGGGGGGGGGGGGGGGGGGGGGCTCGTCTCCTGTAGAGGACGTTGCCTGGGGCCGGACTCGGGGGGGCTCGTTTCCTGGGGCCGGACTGGGGGGGGGGGGGCTCGTTTCCTGGGGCCGGACTGGGGGGGGGGGGTTTCCTGGGGCCGGACTGGGGGGGGGGGGGGCTCGTTTCCTGGGGCCGGACTGGGGGGGGGGGCTTGTTTCCTGGGGCCGGACTCAGGGGGGGCTCGTTGCCTGGGGCCGGACTCGGGGGGGGGGGGGGGGGGGGGGGGCTAGTCTCCTGTAGAGGACGTTTCCTGGGGCCGGACTCGGGGGGGCTCGTTTCCTGGGGCCGGAGTCAGGGGGGGGGGGGGGGCTCGTTGCCTGGGGCCGGACTCGGGGGGGCTCGTTGCCTGGGGCCGGACTCGGGGGGGGGGGGGGCTCGTTGCCTGGGGCCGGACTCGGGGGCTCGTTGCCTGGGGCTGGACTCGGGGGGGGGGGGGGGGGGCTCGTTGCCTGGGGCCGGACTGGGGGGGGGGGGGGGGCTCGTTTTCTGGGGCCGGACTCGGGGGGGGGGGGGGGGGGGGGGGGAGCTCGTCTCCTGTAGAGGACGTTGCCTGGGGCCGGACTCGGGGGGGGGGGGGGGGCTCGTTGCCTGGGGCCGGACTCGGGGGGGGGGCTCGTCTCCTGTAGAGGACGTTGCCTGGGGCCGGACTCGGGGGTCTCGTCTCTTGTAAAGGATGTTTCCTGGTGTTTGACTTGGGAGTCTTGTCTCCTGTTAATAGTTTCTTTATTCCCTTTGTTTCAGCCGGCATCATGGCATCCTGCAGTACCAGCAGCGAGGAGGACCGCAGCCTGCGGGAATGTGAGCAATATGTACAGAAACACAACATCCAGCAACTTCTTAAAGACTGCATTGTCCAGCTGTGCACAGCACGCCCCGACAGACCCATGGCCTTCCTCCGAGAATATTTTGAGCGTCTGGAGAAGGTAAAAGGCGGAACGATTGTCTTGTGATGTGTCTCCTGGAAAAGACTATTTTCTGGATGGGATTGGCCCACTCTGCATTACAAGTGCCTCTAGGTCCAACTGGGAGCGAGACTTGGGGCAGTGTAGGGGCTTCGCTGGGATCACACCGGCCTGCGTATAGGAAGCCTTGGGGGCTGTGTAGAGCAGGGGTGCCCAACCGCTGGCCTGCAGAGCTCTCTAATGTGGCCTACGGCCTCCCGTGCTGGGATAGAGGATCAGAAAACCCAGATTGTGCGTTCCCAATGATGGGATCGGCGGGCCTATAGAGGAGAGTGGGCTGTGTCTGCTCTGTTATGCACAGTGGACACAAACCTATCAGCCGCCACTCATTGTGGCCTGTAATAGTCACCCCCTTTTACCCACGCGGGTGCGGGACAGTCACCCCTTCTATGCACTGTCATCCAACCATTTCTTTCTTCTCTTTACCAGGAGGAAGCCAAGCAGACCCTACACCAGCAGAAATCTGGCTCCCGCTCTGATTCCCGTGAGGATGAGATCTCCCCACCCCCACCTATGAATCCTGTAGTAAAGGGTCGCAGACGGCGTGGAGCTATCAGTGCAGAGGTGTACACAGAGGAGGACGCAGCTTCGTATGTACGCAAGGTAAGCTTAGACCCCCAATAATACCATCTCCAAGAAAAGCTGGTGGTCATAGGAGATGCTAACAGTTGCTAGGAGCCATGGAATCACCTCATGAACTTCCACTGATCCTTGTGCACTGGGGGGTGGTTTGGCACCTTAGGGCCTCCCACGGGCCCTTGTACACTTGGTGGGGGATTACCACCTCAGGATCTTCCGCTGGTTCTTGTACAAGGGGGTATTATTAGAGTGGATTGAAGCTCAGGTTTCACAGCTCATTGATATAGTAGTTGATCACAGGTTTACATCGAGGTCAGGTCAGGATCTTATCCTGTTCACACATATGGGGTTTAGAAATTGTTCCCATAGAAGTTAATAGCCTGTAATCCACACCTGAACCGGACCGCACTGCTTTGAAATCCTACAGGACACTTTCAAACCGCACTGAAGCTGCACCGCCAGTGCACCGGACATATGTGAGCAGGCATCAATGTTATTGTATGTCATACGGGTTGGGTGTGGTTCAATCTACAACCAATCCACGTGTCAACTCAAGGAGTAAGGTGTTTTTTAGTTTTGTTTTATTTTCCAAGGGGGTTAAATTATGCAACCGGTCTATAGGCTTGTTTAACTTCAGGGGCCCCTGGACAGCATTGAGGATTGGAATACCCTCAAAGATCCCCTTTCTATCATGAACAGGCTAATTATGGGTTCTAAGAACCTAAACCTCTCACTTCTCTGATCTTTCATTGTAATACAGGCCATCCCATCCCGGCGTCCCGCAAGCTGGCCATTTCCATCCCGGCGTCCCGCAAGCTGGCCACCCCATCCCGGCGTCCCGCAAACAGGCCACCCCATCCCGGCGTCCCGCAAACAGGCCACCCCATCCCGGCGTCCCGCAAACAGGCCACCCCATCCCGGCGTCCCGCAAACAGGCCACCCCATTCTATGTAAGCTGTAGGGAATGATGGTGCCTGAGGGTCCCCGCCTGCATTCTATGTAAGCTGTAGGGAATGATGGCGCCCGAGGGTCCCTGCCTGCATTCTATGTAAGCTGTAGGGAATGATGGTGCCCGAGGGTCTCTGTCTCTATTTGGGGAGTTTTTGGTACCTTCTGAAGTGTCAGTACTTCTCCCTATTAATGTTATGGGGGGTGGGAATACAGAGTGTGAATAGAACTGGGCCCAGCTCTGCAAACCTTGGCCTATCTGGTCTCCTGGCTTTACCTATGTACAAACATTGTCCTTTCATCCTCACACTCTCTGCGTCGGGCAACAGACATATGAAGGAATCTATCAAATGGTTAGCACTTTCAGCAGGCGGTTAGGTTGACTGGCTCCTGAACTCTGCATGCGTTTGAAGACTAATGCCAGATGGCCTGAAGGGGACATTCTTATTTTCAGGCTTTGCTTCTAGTTGCCTGCAGCAACTTCACTGTAAATTATAATATGATCACTCCTAGGTCATCCCTAAAGACTACAAGACTATGGCGGCTCTGGCCAAGGCCATTGAGAAGAACGTTCTGTTTGCACATCTGGATGACAACGAGAGAAGGTGAGATGACAGCACTGATTGTGGTTCCTCTGAGGGGTCCACACACACACTCCACTCATTGTGAGGATATTGGAGTATGAATCATACATGGAGTGGGGATTCAGAACCCATCTCCGCAGAGTCGCCCTTTAGTAGGCTGCCATGTGACATGGGGTTGTGTCAGACAGATACCCGGCATTACCACTTGGCCATTAATGTGAGGAGAAGAGAATGGCGGGAGTGAGTTGACAGGAAGTCTGCTGTGTGGGGGAAATCTCTGTTCCCTTCTACACAGGAACCTTCTTGTCTTCCCAGTCCCCCATACAGAAATGGAAGATGATTGAAGACACAGTAGACAAGGGAAAAATATATTCCCGGAGGGCGGGGGAGGAGTATATAGAATAGATTCTCTGTGTACATAATGTCTCCTCTGTCTTCCAGCGACATATTTGATGCCATGTTCTCTGTCACCTACATAGCCGGAGAAACAGTCATCCAGCAGGGTGAGTGGGATGGGCTCTTTTCTCAGGTAGGTATGTAGTCAAAGATGGGAGAGGGTGGGGGAAGGGACATGTTCTCTATGTACAGTCATTGTATATGGTCTGTGGGACATACTTCGTGATCTGGAGGAATATGGGGAAGTTCTGAATTATTCTGGCAGAATAGCCAGTCAGCACAGTGTCCCTGGCTTGGGTTGCCCTGTCCTGATGTTGTGGCTCAGGCTCCCCTGTCTTGGCGGTGTGTCCCGGGTGGCTTGTGCTGCTATGTCTGTGGCGTGTCCCGGGTGGCTTGTGCTGCTATGTCCTGGCGGCGCGCGTCCGGGTGGCTTGGGCTGCCCCGTCCTGGCGGCGCGTCCCGTCCTGGCGGCGCGTCGGGTGGCTCGGGCTGGCCCGTCCTGGCGGCGCGTCCCGGGTGGCTCGGGCTGCCCCGTCCTGGCGGCGCGTCCCGGGTGGCTCGGGCTGCCCCGTCCTGGCGGCGCGTCCCGGGTGGCTCGGGCTGCCCCGTCCTGGCGGCGCGTCCCGGGTGGCTCGGGCTGCCCCGTCCTGGCGGCGCGTCCCGGGTGGCTCGGGGTGCTGCCCCGTCCTGGGTGGCGTCCCGGGTGCTTAGGCTGCCCTGTCCTGGGTGGCTCAGGCTGACCTGTCCTGGGTGGTGTTAGGCTCCCGGGTGGCTCAGGCTGACCCGTTCTGGTGGTGTGTCCCGGGTGGCTCAGGCTGACCCGTTCTGGCGGCGTGTCCCGGGTGGCTTAGGCTGACCCATTCTGGCGGTGTGTCCTGTTCAGGTTGTCCAGTGTGACCATTTTTTTTTTTTTTTTTGCAGGTGATGAAGGCGATAATTTCTATGTGGTGGACCAGGGGGAGATGGATGTGAGTATTTGGGGTCTCTGTCCTGAAGTTGTCTGTCACCATGTGACTGGCGCAGTTTCATGTATTAACCCCTGAACGACCAGTTCTCGGATCACTGTACATAGGGGAGTTGAATTCAGGAATCCCTCTCTTACAGGTTTATGTCAATAACGAGTGGATGACCAGTATCGGAGAGGGCGGAAGTTTCGGAGAATTGGCATTAATCTATGGAACGCCAAGGGCAGCCACTGTGAAAGCCAAAACCAATGTGAAGTTGTGGGGAATTGACCGGGATAGTTACAGGAGGATCCTCATGGTAAATATCTGGAATGCGGCGGTCCCATTGTTTGCTCATGCAGTGCAGACACCTGACCCATGCTTCTATTTCAGGGGAGCACACTACGCAAGCGCAAGATGTACGAGGAGTTCTTGAGCAAAGTCTCCATTCTGGGTGAGTGCTTGGCTCCTCCCCAGGGGTACTACTCCCTTCCTGGTGGGTGTGGCCTGCGGAGTGACATTTCCAGAGAAAGGAAGTGTCAGTTTACCACCATGCATGTGATTGGCTGATCCTTCCCTGTTCATGTGACCAAAGTCACTGCTGTTGGGTGGTTGGTTGGCTATTCCCTCCAACGCATTTGTTTTCCCTGCAGAATCTCTGGACAAGTGGGAGCGGCTGACTGTGGCGGACGCTCTAGAGCCTGTTCAGTTTGAGGATGGACAGAAGATTGTGGTGCAGGGTGAGCCTGGGGACGAGTTCTTCATCATCCTGGAGGTGAGCCACCATTGGGGAATCTGCTGCGCCTGTCCTGGGGTGTTGGTTTGAATTCTCCTTCCGATATAATATTTGTTGGTGGTTTCCCGCAGGGTACTGCTGCCGTGCTCCAACGCCGCTCTGAGAATGAGGAGTTTGTGGAGGTCGGCCGGCTGGGTCCTTCAGATTATTTTGGTGAGTTGGCGGCATTGGCTGGTTCCCAACTTCAACACGTCCTCCGATAGCCCCTCCTTAGGGGAGGTGTCATTGCTGTCATACATTGACCTTTACTCTTCCTTTCAGGTGAGATTGCCCTGCTGATGAATCGGCCTCGAGCAGCCACTGTGGTGGCTCGCGGGCCCTTGAAATGTGTGAAGTTGGACCGCCCACGCTTTGAACGGGTCCTGGGTCCCTGTTCTGACATCTTGAAGAGAAACATCCAGCAGTACAACAGCTTTGTGTCACTGTCAGTCTGAATTCCTCTACGGCCCCGTCCCTCCACCACTGCACCGCTTTACTTCCACCACGCCGCCACCATCCTCCGACACGCAGCAACAAAGCCCCACACCCTCCCTGTTCCTCGTCACCCTATAATTGCCAGTGTCTAGAGTGACCTGAGAGGGGCATTGTGGGTAGTCTGCTTGCAGTCACATTTCTCTGCTCTCCTTCGTCCTCTCGAAGGGTCACTTTAGCTGAATCCATATTTCTGCACGCAAAGAAAAGTGCTGTGACCGCTTGTGTGTGCGCGGCTCGTGTGATGGGTGTTGTAGTGAGAGCAGGGGTTCGCTTCTTCTACACCGGGGTGGGGGGGCTGGCTTTTTTATTGGACAATGTTTGTATTGTGTAGCTTCTGTCATGTCTCTCATATTTCGGATGGATGGCAGATGGGGCATGTAGAGAGGCCACCTTGGTCGGTGGATTTCAGGTATCATGTATCAAGAGTAGTACAAATGGGGGGTTGAAAGGGGGTGCCAAGCAACTACCGTGGTTGGTGGATTTCAGGTGGCATGGATCAGTAAGCCAGATCAGGGATGTAGAGGCCACCATGTGTGTGGGGTGGGGGGGCGGTATGAACTGCAGAGGCCACCATCAGGGAAGGGGTATGGAGGGTAGGTGGGGGGGCGGTATGAACTGCAGAGGCCACCATCAGGGAAGGGGTATGGAGGGTAGGTATGGAGGCCAGGGTAGGTTGGGGATGCAGAGGCCACCATCAGGGAGGGGGTATGGAGGGTAGGTAGGGGATGCAGAGGCCACCATCAGGGAGGGGGTATGGAGGGTAGGTAGGGGATGCAGAGGCCACCATCAGGGAGGGGGTATGGAGGGTAGGTAGGGAGTGCACAGCAGCTGCCATGATTGGTTGGATTTCAGGTACCATAGAGATGGGGGATTGGGACAGGTCAGGGCTTGGTGGCGTGTTGGCAGTTCCAGTCTCTCCCCATGTTGGTCCTGACAGATTTTTGTTATTTTCCTTTTGATTTTTGGTACATTTGTCACCTCGTGTGATTTCACTGTATTCTTAATCACTGCTTCTGAATGAAGGGGTCATCGGAAGATGAGCGCAGCAGTGCCGGGCGGTTTCCTAGCAGCTGATTGGTTGGGGTGTGGTCTATTTTCCTCTGTGTGTGTCTGCGTCTCGCTTCCAGTTCCGTATATGGCAACACAAACCGATTTTGCTTCATAGAAAACCCAGTTCAATTGAGGCCGGCGTGACAGGAAGTACTGTCATGTGACCGTGGTCACCATGGATGGGAAGACACGAGCTCTTGCTGTCCTAGACAGGTACACTTTAGTCAGATAAAGAGGACCATTTTTGTATTGTTACCGGATTCTAGAAGTCTCACTTATTGTATGTGCCGACAGATGATATCTATAAATATATAAATATATATTCCTTTTCTTAGAGATTTCTCCTATAAGCAGGTTCAGCAATAAAGAGGATTTGAATTCTTACCTTGTCTGCTGCTTCTTGAGGGGGGGGGGGGGGCAATACTACTGGGGGCATCCAGCCCCTTCACCTCTTCTCTACTGCCATGTGAGGGATGACGGGTTCCCACCACGGGGGGGAGAAGTCTGATCACTGCCCGTCTGCCGCCGTGAGGGGGGAACTGACCGACCCTACAGCCTCATGTCCTCCAAGCCATCTATCCTGAACTGTGAGGGCAGCTAGACAAATGGCAGTGGACGGCGGATCCTGAACATGAATAGTAGCTGGTGAAGCCATGCATCTATTGATCCAATCACCACTGAGGGTGAAGTCAGGACTAACCAATCGTGTGGGGGGTTATGTGCAGACCCTGTCGGGGGAGGTGGTGACATGGTCCACCCCGCAATGGTACACACGGGACAAATTTCATTTGGAATTGAATTTATTAGAAGTTCATTCAGTTTGCTCTGCACACTCAGGATAATGCGCAGCATGCTGGCAGATCTGTGATTATGGCACAGGTGAAAGGTTGGCAGTCCCCAGAGTAGAGCCAGCCGTGTGTCAGGAGGATGAGCTCCAGCAGTAGTCAGTGTGAAGGCTCCTCCTCAGTGCTGCATGTGTTCCTCAGGGGAGGGTTGAGGTGTGTCTGTGGACGGTGATGGGAAGAATGTGCTTGACTTTCTTCTGGATCACGGCCTCTTCTCCATGAACATTGATACACCTTCTCACCACCATCAGGACGGTCTGCAGCCTCCTGTCCAGGGCCCGTAGATGAGGCTCGGTGAGGATGGGGCTGAGGCTATCATGGCTTAATGACTCTCCCATGACATCACTGAGCCGATACTCAGGCAGAGCCAGCAGGTTGAGCCGCTGCCAGGTGCCCTCCCTCAGCCTAGAAGAGGAAGACGAGACATGGTTACAAATGATGGAGCCACCTTGACAGGCCAACTGTTTAGTCCCTGTGCGGACTACGAGAACGCCCCCAACATGACAGGCCGTCGGTTTAGTCCCTGTGCGGACTACGAGAACGCCCCCACCATGACAGGCCGTCGGTTTAGTCCCTGTGCGGACTACGAGAAGGCCCCCACCATGACAGGCTGACGTTTAGTCCCTGTGCGGATTACGAGAACGCCCCCACCATGACAGGCCGTCGGTTTAGTCCCTGTGCGGACTACGAGAAGGCCCCCACCATGACAGGCCGTCGGTTTAGTCCCTGTGCGGACTACGAGAAGGCCCCCACCATGACAGGCCGTCGGTTTAGTCCCTGTGCGGATTACGAGAACGCCCCCACCATGACAGGCCGTCCGTTTAGTCCCTGTGCGGACTACGAGAACGCCCCCACCATGACAGGCTGTCCGTTTAGTCCCTGTGCGGACTACGAGAACGCCCCCACCATGACAGGCTGTCCGTTTAGTCCCTGTGCGGACTACGAGAACGCCCCCACCATGACAGGCTGTCCGTTTAGTCCCTGTGCGGACTACGAGAACGCCCCCAACATGACAGGCCGTCGGTTTAGTCCCTGTGCGGACTACGAGAAGGCCCCCACCATGACAGGCCGTCGGTTTAGTCCCTGTGCGGATTACGAGAACGCCCCCACCATGACAGGCCGTCCGTTTAGTCCCTGTGCGGACTACGAGAACGCCCCCACCATGACAGGCTGTCCGTTTAGTCCCTGTGCGGACTACGAGAACGCCCCCACCATGACAGGCCGTCGGTTTAGTCCCTGTGCGGACTACGAGAAGGCCCCCACCATGACAGGCCGTCGGTTTAGTACCTGTGCGGACTACGAGAAGGCCCCCACCATGACAGGCCGTCGGTTTAGTCCCTGTGCGGACTACGAGAATGCCCCCACCATGACAGGCTGTCTGTTTAGTCCCTGTGCGGACTACGAGAACGTTCCCACCATGACACGAGGTTGGTTTAGTTCCTGTGCGGACTACAAGAATGTCCCCACCATGGCAAGAGGTTGGTTTAGTTCCTGTGCGGACTATGAGAATGTCCCCACCATGGCAAGAGGTTGGTTTAGTTCCTGTGCGGACTATGAGAATGTCCCCACCATGGCAAGAGGTTGGTTTAGTTCCTGTGCGGACTATGAGAATGTCCCCACCATGGCAAGAGGTTGGTTTAGTTCCTGTGCGGACTATGAGAATGTCCCCCCCATGACAGGATGCTGGTTTAGCGCCACCACAGATAGAGGAAAAAGCAAGTGTATGTGCAAAGTGACAGACGGAAGCTGGCCATCTGCTTGTAATAAGACATGATAGGGAGCCTACCATAGTCCATAGGGACTTTTAGTACTGCAGTTCCCAGTCCCTCACCTAGAATAAGGACAATAAAAGCTGAGCTCTCAGGCCAACGACGATACAGCGCTGATGGTGGGTGGACCTCATTGGAGACTCGCTTAGGGACAGATTGCTGTTCTTAGGACAACCATACATGGATTGAAATGGTCCCTGCTGAACCAGCCAGATTTCAATCCATGTATGGGCAGGCTGGTTCTATCCATCGCCTTGTATACAACGAGCCCGTCAGGTTTTTCCCAGTCCATGCCGCTGGCTATAGACTGCAGCACTGATCAGTGTATTAGGATGGCGGGGGAAACTCCTCTGTCAGAATACAATGGCAGAGCAGGAGGGATTCCCCCATCACATGGAATGTCTGGATGGAGGAATTCTCCTTTATCCACCCCACTGGAGGAACAAATAAAACAAACGTATGGGCTGCTCGAGGCTGGGAGCATTGTACCAACATCCCACCCATTGTCAGCACTCCAGGTACCAGACAGGCTCCACCCTTCATACAGTGCCATCCTCGTCAGGGATAGGATACGGGAGGGACTCACATGCAGCATTGGTACAGAGGTGCCAGGATGGTCGTCTCATCACGGGAGTGTTGTCCGAACCTGCAATACAGCCAGGACCACATCAACCATGTGCTGGGAGGGCGGAGCCTCCTGATCGTGTTACTACACATGTCACCTACCCTCTGGCGTTATCCAGGTGAAGAAGGAAACCGTCATCTCCAAACTTGGTGAATATCTCGTAGTGATGGCGATCCATGTTCCCTGCAGGGGGAAAACAGAAGCCATGATGGAGTATGGCCATCTTCAGGTATCTGTGCAGCTCTGGGAGGGTGCTCTCACCTGGGGGCAAAGGTCACTGCGGGGGTGCTCTCACTGGGGCCAAGGTTGGTGTGGGCGTGCTCTCAGCGGACCAAGGTCACTGCGGGGGTGCTCTCACTGGGGCCAAGGTCACTGCGGGGGTGCTCCCAGCGGGTCAAGGTCAGTGTGGGGGTGCTCTCACCCGGGCTAAAGTCACTGTGGGGGTGCTCTCACCCGGGCCAAAGTCACTGAGGACCAAGGTCACTGAGGGGGTGCTCAGCAGGCCAAGGTCAGTGTGGGGGTGCTCAGCGGGCCAAGGTCAGTGTGGGGGTGCTCTCACCTGGGATAAAGGTCACTGTGGGGGTGCTCTCACTGGGGCCAAGGTCACTGCGGGGGTGCTCTCAGCGGGCCAAGGTCGGTGCGGGGGTGCTCTCAGCGGGGCCAAGGTCACTGCGGGGGTGCTCTCAGCGGGGCCAAGGTCACTGCGGGGGTGCTCTCAGCGGGGCCAAGGTCACTGCGGGGGTGCTCTCAGCGGGGCCAAGGTCACTGCGGGGGTGCTCTCAGCGGGGCCAAGGTCACTGCGGGGGTGCTCTCAGCGGGGCCAAGGTCACTGCGGGGGTGCTCTCACTGGGGCCAAGGTCACTGCGGGGGTGCTCTCACTGGGGCCAAGGTCACTGCGGGGGTGCTCCCAGTGGGTCAAGGTCAGTGTGGGGGTGCTCTCACCCGGGCCAAGGTCACTGTGGGGGTGCTCAGCGGGCCAAGGTCACTGTGGGGGTGCTCAGCGGGCCAAGGTCACTGTGGGGGTGCTCAGCGGGCCAAGGTCACTGTGGGGGTGCTCAGCGGGCCAAGGTCACTGTGGGGGTGCTCCCAGCGGGCCAAGGTCACTGTGGGGGTGCTCCCAGCGGGCCAAGGTCACTGTGGGGGTGCTCCCAGCAGGTCAAGGTCAGTGCAGGGGTGCTCTCAGTGGGCTGGACTCTCTCTCTGCATAACGATTTGTAGTATGGTGTGGGGTTCCAGGACACGATTCTCCACACTGCACAGACTAGCTCTCCCTTCCTCTGTATATAAGGGCTGACCTTAGATGTATAGCGTATGTAATGTGGGTGTGACAACACTGCGGTACTGCCCCTTACAGACATCCAATCATGTGCAAGGATTAAGGGTTTGCACCAACTCCAGGTTGCTGTAGTGTGAGTGGGACCACATGGAGGGTGCAGACAATTCTGCTCTCTAAAGTAGATGTGGACCAAGCCAGACCGTTGCTGACCGCCAATCCGAAGCACATGGTCTCCACTGAGAGCGATTCCTAATGGAGGTCATTGCACAGTTGTGAGCATGCCATGAATCCCGCTCAGACAGACCCAGACTGGGCTTACCAATAACTTACCGATCAGAAAGTCAAAGACGGCCATGTCGATGACACCGAGGAGCCTCTGGGGGTTGTTGTAGGGGGGCAGCTGTTTGATGGAGTCACAGTATGCCGTGTTCACCTCCCACCTAACAGACAGGAAAATGCAGGTCAGGAGGATCTCTGGGAGGAATACAATGTGGATGGACGCCATCCTCCCCCTGAACCCCCATCATTCCCTGCAGGCCACCCATTCTAATAGGGAGGTGTACTCTACATACGCAGGTCAGGAGCATCTCTGGCAGGAATACAATGCGGATGGACAGCGTCCTCCTCCATGTTGAGTCTCCAGACACTGATCTGTAGGGACTGAAAAGTGTTCATTGATTCTAGTATAGAAGTGTACTCTACATGCACAGGATGGGTCCAGCCACTAGGTGGCACCACACACTGAGCATCCTTCCCATCGGCAGGCGGTACGTCAGCGTTGGGTGCATTGCTCCATGGATGTGACTCCCCCGCCAGATGGGACAATCCAGATGTTCTCTACACGTCAGTGGAAAATTGGCCACCGACATCATTGTTATTCAGAAGACAGGAAAAAATAAATTCCACAAAATGAGACGTCACCTGAGGGATCCACTGACCAAAAAACAACTTGTGGTGGGGAGCCCCAGAATGTGTGTGTCTGTATAGAAGGTTGCCGGGCATCAACACCTGCCCCCCCATACATATAGAGAGGTCCCCGGGGGTCAACACCTGCCCCCCCATACATATAGAGGGGTCCCCGGGGGTCAACACCTGCCCCCCCATACATATAGAGGGGTCCCCGGGGGTCAACACCTGCCCCCCCATACATATAGAGGGGTCCCCGGGGGTCAACACCTGCCCCCCCATACATATAGAGGGGTCCCCGTAGGTCAACACCTGCCCCCCCATACATATAGAGGGGTCCCCATAGGTCAACACTTGCCCCCCATACATATAGAGGGGTCCCCATAGGTCAACTCCTGCCCCGCCATACATATAGAGGGGTCCCCGGGGGTCAACTCCTGCCCCCCCATACATATAGAGGGATCACGGGGATCAGCACTTCCCCCCCATCCATATGGCACCTGTTCCTATAGAGCTATCCCCTACCCGTATAGAGGTGTCCCTGAGATTGGCACCTGTCCCCTATCCGTATAGAGGTGTCCCCGAGATTGGCACCTGTCCCCTATCCGTATAGAGGTGTCCCCGAGATTGGCACCTGTCCCCTATCCATATAGAGGGGTCCCAAGATTGGAACCTGTCCCCCATTAGTATAGCGGGGTCTCCATGATCAAAATCAGGATACCCCCATCCATATAGAGAGACTCCTGGGATCAACACCTGCCCTTAATTTGTATAGAGGGGTCCCCCGTCCTCTGTTCATATACAGGGGTCACTTGGATTCAAATCTTCCCTTCATGAACAGTAGAGGGGGCAGCCGTCAGGGGGGCAGACATCAGACACACTCCATCTTACAAAAATCAGAATGGCCAGATCCTATGAAAAGGGGCCCCATGAGCAGCAGAGGGTTAAATCCCTTTCAGCATTAAGTTGCAGCTGCAACATCTGGCTGCCGGTGGGATCATTGGGCGCAGTGACTGAGGATTGTGGGAAGCATCACATCTGGAGCAGAACCACTCCGGAAACTGAGCCTCCCCTGCTGCTTTAGAACTACAAGTACCAGCAACTGAGGGAATGGCATCATTCTATGGGGTTACTGACCATGAGCTGTGTATTGTTACATGACCTATAGATGTGCCCTCCGGGGATTAGTTGGGGGCAATCTATGACAGGAAAGACTTCTAGGGGCCGATTTTATCATTTCAGTTGCAGACATTGTACTACTTACTCTTCCTTCCTTCCCAGTGAAGGTGTAGGAGCGGATCCAGGGGCTCGGCACAGACAGACGGGGTGCAAAGGACAAGGAAGGCAGGAATGTGGAGAGGGATCCCTCCAATGTGTGCGGATTCCCACAGACTGCATACTCCGTCTTACACATGTACAGACACTTGGCAAAGAAGCAGACATTGTTCGCTGAGGAGGGAAATGAGGACATCAGTGAGGATCCCGGAACAGACATGGAGATCTCCCAGGATCTGTGTCCATCCTGGGATCCTAATTGTCTGTATAATCTCCGCAGACACGCATCCTGTGAGGACTCCACAGACACGCATCCTGTGAGGACTCCGCAGACACGCATCCTGTGAGGACTCCGCAGACACGCATCCTGCGCGATCATCATGTCTTGTCTGATATTATCATATGTGTGGAGATCTCACATGGTCCGTGTCTATGGAGATCATGTCTATCCTGGGATCATAATTATCTGTATAATCGTCACAGACATGCATCCTGCGAGGACTCCGCAGACACGTATCCTGGTATCATCATCTGTGTGGAAATCTCACAAGGTCCGTGTCTGGAGTCCTCACAGGATCGGTGTTTCTGGAGCTCTCCAGGGGTCTATGGAGATCATGCAGATAAATGTTGATCTCAGGATAGACATGAAGATCTCTCAGGATCATTTTTCACGAATAACCCCATACCTGGAGAGACGAAGAACACACTTTCCAAGTCAGCATTGCTGGTCACCTCCAGGATGTCACTGGTCACATTGACTAGTCGTCCAGAAACTGGGGGAACTCGCCGGAAGTCCAGAATCCTGGAGACAGAGAATGGTCAGAGTCATTACTAGCAGATATTAAACACCAGAGGAATGGACTCCTGAAGGACTTACCGGTCCAGGTGGAAGGCCGCTATCTCAGCGTTATGTCGCTGGTAGTCCACAAAGTAAAAGAAAAGAATCATCCGGAGTTTGCTCATCTCGGCTCTGCCTTAGGAGGAGAACACAAGAGCTAGCAATCCAAACAGTAGGGGGAAGTAAAGGCTACAACTGGGGAGTCAGGCCATAGTTCTCGTTTGGTAATAAGATATGAGGACAAACAATGCAGAGATCTGACTTCAATACCTTATCGGCTTAAACATGGCTTTCCCGAAATCCTGGAACCTCAGAACTAACTTCAGGTGAGTCCCGCTTGGCTTCACAACTACAAAGAAAGGGAAAAGAGATTCTGAATATGATCCAATATGACTGGACAATCTCTTACCAAAACCTGCCTCAACAATCCCTTCAATTCACATCCAATCAGGAGGGCCCTTGTACTGCATCATCATTCGATCATCAGATTGCAATGTGTACGGCCATCATGATGAAGAAAACAATACATTGTTCCTGATGAGAGAACATACAAGGAGTACTTCGGAAATCTGCCCAAGACAGGATGCCCCGCCCCCTGGGGGACAAAACCCAACAAACCCCCCTTTCTGCATCCACCCCGTCCCCTTACCCCAAACCTGCAGCCAGCTAGGAGATGGTTTCATCTTTAGTGACCACCCTTCCCCAGCGCCCAGAATTTGCCAGAGGTACTAACAGGGCAGTATGTGGCCAGTAAGGAACGCTCCGAATGCAGACGACTTGTATTCCTGACACCAATCTCTAGACTCGCCCTGCCTGAAATGTCGGCACGACGCCCGCCCCCCTGGACTCGCCCTGCCCAAAATGTCGGCACGACGCCTGCCCTGGGACTCGCCCTGCCTGAAATGTCGGCACGACGCCCGCCCCTGGACTCGCCCTGCCCAAAATGTCGGCACGACGCCCGCCCCTGGACTCGCCCTGCCCGAAATGTCGGCACGACGCCCGCCCCTGGGACTCGCCCTGCCTGAAATGTCGGCACGACGCCCGCCCCTAGACTCACCCTGCCCGAAATGTCGGCACGACACCCGCCCCTGGACTCACCCTGCCCGAAATGTCGGCACGACACCCGCCCCTGGACTCACCCTGCCCGAAATGTCGGCACGACACCCCGCCCCTGGACTCACCCTGCCCGAAATGTCAGCATAATGCCTGTCCCTGGACTTGCCGTGCCCAAAAAGTTCATGAATGCTGCATACAGCTTATACAGAAATGAGCTTGCCTGCCTCTAGATGGCCCTGTTCCCACTATAGTGTGAGAAAGGGAACATTGTCATTAGGTGTTAGCTCCCCTTTTAGAGAATTCCCTCTAGTGATAGAATGGGTGGGATTAGCCCCTATACCAAATGCCAGTGGCAAGATGTGGTCTCCTGCAGTACAGATCTAAACGGCCCTGGGCCTGGTGCCAACTCTATGGTGCTCCTGAGGTGGAATGGAGGCGTAGAGGGAAGATGGCTTACAAGATGTGCTTGTGTTCTGCACAGAAATGACAATTACTGAATGCCTACTGTTGTGGATGGTGTTCTGCACCGAAGAATTCCGAGGTGTTGTCAGAGGTCACAGAGATTTGTGAAGATGTGGAGAGTGCATAGTATGTGTGGACATTCCTTTCTTCATAGATATGAAGGCCTACAGCCAGGGATGTCGAGGGTGGGCCTGTGTCCAGGAGTATGGTGGAGGGTTCCATCAACAAGAGGGTTGATGTCCTATCCGAGAAGAAGTGGGTACAGACTTACATAGTTAAAGTTTATTTAATGTAATGGTTCTTCGTATAGATGGGAGCATGATGGAACATGTACTGAGTGGATAAGGGTCCATGTGAACGATTTTGAAAATCCTTGTGATCATCCCTAAGAAAGAAAGATGGCAACCCGTAGATGTAAGCTGCATAGGGGTACAGGAAAACCAATCTGTTTTTCTGCTCCATGTTCCTATTTGTGGCTTCACAAGGCACAGGAGAGGGGACAGCAATAGAGACGCCTTGTGTACCTCTCTAAATTACAGAGTGAAAAAAAGGGAAGGGCCCAATGTCTTTCCTAAAACATGGATTAATTGTCAAGGAATGTCCCTCTCTACACACACTCCCCTCTTCCCCCACACCCTTTATTACATTTAAGGTTTTACAGCAGGTCTGGTGGGCTTAGAGGTGGAGAGTCGGACCAAGTGAGGAACCTGCAGTACATGATGATACCTTGGGGGGACGAACGGATATGATAGAAGAGACCCATTCAATAGTGGGGTAGTGATCCTCTTTCCTCAGTAGCCAACCCAAATATATTTTCCTCAAGGGAATTCACAAAGAGGAGCTGACCTTCCAAGGTCTTGTACACATGACATACAGTAAGAGTGGTCCACCTACCAAGCTGTGAGCCATACCATTCTGTGCAATCATGGAAAGAAAGGCCATTCTGGAGATCTGAGCGATCAAGCTCTCCATGGCCTCTGAATGTTAGTGCAGGTCCACAATGTGAGGAAATAACCTTTTCTGAGGGGTCCAATCAATATATAAGGCCCCAAGGGCTTGGTTCAGAATAGAGAAAGGCTTCCTAGGAATCTCCTTTTCATTTTCACGCTTGAAAAAGAAGTGTACTGCAAACCAACAGATGTAGTAGTTGTTGGAGCTGTATGAGCTGTATTGGGATGGAAAGTTCCTGAGGTCTGCATACAGCTTATACAGAGCACACAACCGCTGCATCTCTGAGGAAATTGTTCATTTGGACCATCACTACAACCTGGAGATCAGCTTTAAACCGAAAAACGATCCTCTCCCACCATCACCTGTGGCATTAAATGTTGCAGGCTGCATTCCACTGACAAACCCCTAGGGGACCAGAACGCCGCCCCTAGGGGACCAGAACGCTGCCCCTGTGGTTCCATTTAAAGAGCAAAATCCCTTTGCCACTGCAGCTTTCCTCAGTCCAGCGGATCCCCTGAAAGATAAGCAGAGAGGGACAAGCAATCTTCAGCCATCCAGCAAGCCATATCCCCTAAAGGGGTCTTCAGGAACCAGGTTCCATAAGATGGGTGGACCTTTGTCCTGTACAGCAGCCCATGGCTTGGTTAGCACCAGATGCAGGAGCCAATGCCTGGAGGTCACCATATACAGGTCAGCACACATCTTTTACTGGTGGGGTCCATATATGGTCCCCCCAGGGCAAACCTGAGAAGTAACCAATCCAAAAGTGTAAAAGGATTCTGGTGAAGAAGAAACTGCTTTGATAAAAAGTAAAAAAAAAAAAACGGGTTTTGCTTCTTCCAAAGCAGAGAGAAGAGGTCTGTTCTCCTGAGCACACTATGGAGAACTGAGGCATGCTGGGAGTGGGTGGAGTTGCACTGGGCAGTCCTTACAGCCGGGTGTCCAATTCTCCTGAAGGTGGCAGGCTGACCCATTGGCTCCAGGATACTTCATGGTGTGTCCTGCAGTGTAGGCTTTAGGGGAAGGAAGCGGACAACTTTCATTCTGTGTGCACAGCTGTCTGTTCAACAGAAGTCAGTCTAATGAGCCGTCCTGCCAGAAAACCAGCATCCAATCAGAGCTGGCAGATCAGGCCAGAGCTGGGGGGTTGGGGGCGCTGTCAGCATACAATAGTGCAGTGGAGGAGATTCCCCAACTTCCACATGGTTGTTGGGACGTGGGGATCTTGTCTGCTGGAATGTGTGTACCCAACTGTCACCCTCCACCAGTGGAACTCTGATTGGCTGCTGTGGGGGAGGTGGAGTTCCCATCAACCTGTAGTATTGTCAGTAGGTGAATGATGGTGGGGTGATCACTTACTCTGGCTGCAGTCACACTCCCCATTGAGAGCCTTCTCATCTGGACTGTAATCTGGAAGAAAAAGGAGAGCCAGAGGGTCAAACACACCGGGTCATAACGCCCCCCTCTGCCCATCACCTGCAGCTTCATCCTGACTTTGACTTCTCCAGATACAGAGACCTGGACCCAGAACCACACTGTGCGCTCATCCGGCATGCCTTACCGCGCGCTCATCCGGCATGCCTTACCGCGCGCTCATCCGGCATGCCTTACCGCGCGCTCATCCGGCATGCCTTACCGTGTGCTGCAGGCAGGATCAGCCTGTCACAAGGCAGTGTCATATTTCTACTATAAAATCCTTCTGTAGAACATCGCTCCATCTCATCCCTCTCCTGACAGATCTATATTGATATATTCTTCAATTTATTGCAGCCCTGATCTCTAGAGATGTCTCACCTTGGCTCAGTGACCTGCATGCAGTGAAGTTACAGACAGGAGACTGGTAATCATTGGTGTGGATGGCGGATCCAGGAGACATATAATTATAGGAAGACGTGTTAATCACAGGTGTAATTTGCAGTGTCTAATCTATGGATTGCTGTTTACGTCTGATCCCGCTCTGATCCCTTCCATACAATGTGGGATTCAGCTCCTGTGTGAACAAGCTGATATGATCTATACGTGTATATATGTGTATATACGTGTGTGTGTGTTGTCCCCAAGGAGGCGGAAGTGTGGGGGGAGGGGGGTGGAGGAGTCCCCATTGAAGTGGCAGTGGGGGGGTGGTGGAGAAGTCCCCATTGAAGTGGCAGTGGGGGGTGGTGGAGGAGTCCCCATTGAAGTGGCAGTGGGGGGTGGTGGAGTCCCCATTGAAGTGGCAGTGTGTGTGTGTGGGGGGGGGGAATGGAGGAGTCCCCATTGAAGTGGCAGTGGGGGGTTGGGGTGATGGAGGAGTCCCCATTGAAGTGGCAGTACGGGGGGATGAAATAGTCCCATCTTACCTGCACCTATAATGGTCAGAGTATTCATATTGCGGAGTAGTTGGTCCACCACTGAGCTGTGCCGGGGGTAGAGTGCCTCCTTACTGATACCCAGATGGAACTGCAGCCAGGATGTGTGGTACTCCTCCAGGGAGGTGGTGAGGTTGTGCTCGGTGTGCTGCATCCTCTGCCGTCTGTAAAGACAAGTTCACAAAATTAAAGCCTCCCGGGACAGAGAAAACCTCCAGAGTGGAGCTTTGGCTGGGATTTGAAAGAGGTTATAGCAGATTATGGATGGTGGTCAGTGTGTAATGGCCGGATGGGGCGATGATCAGCGTGTGCAATGCCCGATGGGGCGATGATCAGCGTGTGCAATGCCCGATGGGGCGATGATCAGCGTGTGCAATGCTTGGATGGGGCGATGATCAGCGTGTGCAATGCTTGGATGGGGCGATGATCAGCGTGTGCAATGCCCGGATGGGGCGATGATCAGCGTGTGCAATGCCCGGATGGGGCGATGATCAGCGTGTGCAATGCCCGGATGGGGCGATGATCAGCGTGTGCAATGCCCGGATGGGGCGATGATCAGCGTGTGCAATGCCCGGATGGGGCGATGATCAGCGTGTGCAATGCCCGGATGGGGCGATGATCAGCGTGTGCAATGCCCGGATGGAGGCGATGATCAGCGTGTGCAATGTCCGATGAGGCGATGATCAGCGTGTGCAATGCCCGATGGGGCGATGATCAGCGTGTGCAATGTCCGATGAGGCGATGATCAGCATGTGTGCAACGGCCGGGGGGGGCGATCAGCATAATGTCCGATGGGGCGATGATCAGCGTGTGCAATGCCCGATGGGGCGATGATCGGCGTGTGCAATGCCCGGATGGGGCGATGATCAGCGTGTGCAATGCCCGGATGGAGCGATGATCAGCGTGTGCAATGCCCGATGGGGCGATGATCAGCGTGTGCAATGCCCGATGGGGCGATGATCAGCGTGTGCAATGCCCGGATGGGGCGATGATCAGCGTGTGCAATGCCCGGATGGAGCGATGATCAGCGTGTGCAATCTCCGATGAGGCGATGATCAGCGTGTGCAACGGCCGGATGGGGCGATCAGCATAATGTCCGATGGGTGATGATCAGCGTGTGCAATGCCCGATGGGGCGATGATCGGCGTGTGCAATGCTTGGATGGGGCGATGATCAGCGTGTGCAATGCCCGATGGGGCGATGATCGGCGTGTGCAATGCCCGGATGGAGCAATGATCAGCGTGTGCAATGCCCGATGAGGCGATGATCAGCGTGTGCAACGGCCGGATGGGGCGATCAGCATAATGTCCGATGGGGTGATGATCAGCGGATGTAATGCCCGGATAGGGTGATTAGGTCTTCATCCACTGTTTTACATCCATTGGAGGACACATGACCTCACATACTGCTGAATTATATTGCCGCCTGCAGGAGTACTGGACACTGACCAACAAAAAAAAGAGAAAAAAAAAAAAAAGTAGGCCAGGCCCAAGATAAGTTGTCCTGCTTCCTTGGGGCTCGGAGGTGAAGGTGTGCAGTCCTTGAACATGTTACACCCTAAATACGGGTTTACATGTATCAGGTTGGTAAAGGAGAACCTGCCCTTGAAGATTTTACTGAGCAGCAGTTGGAATCCCTCCGTACAGACCACTCTGAGTCTGTAGGGACCTTCATCTCCCAACCCCTGGCAGAATAGGATGTATCCATCAAAACGCAGCTCTCCACTGTTGGGTATGTAAGTGGAAGAACGGTCTAGAGCCGGACACGTCGGGGGCGATGAGAGGTCAGGAGCCGGACACGTCGGGGGCGATGAGAGGTCAGGAGCCGGACACGTCGGGGGCGATGAGAGGTCAGGAGCCGGACACGTCGGGGGCGATGAGAGGTCTGGAGCCGGACACGTCGGGGGCGATGAGAGGTCTGGAGCCGGACACGTCGGGGGCGATGAGAGGTCTGGAGCCGGACACGTCGGGGGCGATGAGAGGTCTGGAGCCGGACACGTCGGGGGCGATGAGAGGTCTGGAGCCGGACACGTCGGGGGGCGATGAGAGGTCTGGAGCCGGACACGTCGGGGGCGATGAGAGGTCTGGAGCCGGACACGTCGGGGGCGATGAGAGGTCTGGAGCCGGACACGTCGGGGGCGATGAGAGGTCTGGAGCCGGACACGTCGGGGGCGATGAGAGGTCTGGAGCCGGATGTAGCAATCGTGCCCACAGAGCTGGATGCAGTCCTCCATTTTAAGAATTTTCCATGTTGTACCATTTCTCACTCCCAAAGCAGGCTTCCTCCTCCAATCATCCCCCCTCCCTCGCTGTGGAGTGACATGTGGGCTGAGTGATGACAGAGGTCACAGGCAGCCAAAGCACAGCAAGGAGAGCTCCGAGATATAGAACCCCCAATGGAGCTGGGGCCTAGCTGTCTGGTAGCTGTGCAATCTGGGATATTGTAAAAGCGTAAACCAAGCCCTTCATTTCAAAGACATTCCAGAGAAGTAATAAACTAGACACCACATTCAACATCCATTTTCCCCTATGACTTCTTGGAATACGAGAGACTTACATAAAAACCAGGCATACCATCAGATTGGTCAAGTTAATACAAACCGTTTGGTATATTACATTCCCTAGCTGGCATATATAGGAGGGCAGGAAAGTATACAGTCAGGTCCATAAATATTGGGACATGGACACAATGATAACATTTTTGGCTCTATACACCACAATGGATTTGAAATGAAAGGAACAAGATGTGCTTTAACTGCAGACTGTCAGCTTTAATTTGAGGGTATTTTTACATCCAAATCAGGTGAACGGTGTAGGAATTACAACAGTTTGCATATGTGCCTCCCACTTGTTAAGAGACCAAAAGTAATGGGACAGAATAATAATCATAAATCAAACTTTCACTTTTTAATACTTGGTTGCAAATCCTTTGCAGTCAATGACAGCCTGAAGTGTGGAACGCATAGACATCACCAGACGCTGGGTGTCATCCCTGGTGATGCTCTGCCAGGCCTCTACTGCAACTGTCTTCAGTTCCTGCTTGTTCTTGGGGCATTTTCCCTTCAGTTTTGTCTTCAGCAAGTGAAATGCTCCATCGGATTCAGGTCAGGTGATTGACTTGGCTATTGCAGAACATTCCACTTCTTTCCCTTAAAAAACTCTTTGGTTCCTTTTGCAGTCTGCTTTGGGTCATTGTCCATCTGCACTGTGAAGCGTCCAATGAGTTGTGAAGCATTTGGCTGAATATGAGCCGATAATATTCCCGAAACACTTCAGAATTCATCCTGCTGCTTTGTCAGCAGTCACATCATCAATAAATACAAGAGAACCAGTTCCATTGGCAGCCATACATGCCCACGCCATGACACTACCACCACCATGATCACTGATGAGGTGGGATGCTGAGGACCATGAGCAGTTCCTTCTCCATACTCTTCTCTTCCCATCACTCTGGTACAAGTTGATGTCGGTCTCATCTGTCCATAGGATGTTGTTCCAGAACTGTGAAGGCTTTTTTAGATGTCGTTTGGCAAACTCTAATCTGGCCTTCCTGTGTTTGAGGCTCACCAATGGTTTACATCTTGTGGTGAACCCTCTGTATTCACTCTGGTGAAGTCTTCTCTTGATTGTTGACTTTGACACACATACACCTACCTCCTGGAGAGTGTTCTTGATCCGGCCAACTGTTGTGAAGGGTGTTTTCTTCACCAGGGAAAGAATTCTTCGGTCATCCACCACAGTTGTTTTCCGTGGTCTTCCGGGTCTTTTGGTGTTGCTGAGCTCACCGGGGGCGTTCCTTCTTTTTAAGGATGTTCCAAATAGTTGTTTTGGCCACGCCTAATGTTTTTGCTATCTCTCTGATGGGTTCGTTTTGTTTTTTTCAGCCTAATGATGGCTTGCTTCACTGATAGTGACAGCTCTTTGGATCTCATCTTGAGAGTTGACAGCAACAGATTCCAAATGCAAATAGCACACTTGAAATGAACTCTGGACCTTTTATCTGCTCATTGTAATTGGGATAATGAGGGAAAAACACACACCTGGCCATGGAACAGCTGAGAAGCCAATTGTCCCATTACTTTTGGTCCCTTAACAAGTGGGAGGCACATATGCAAACTGTTGTAATTCCTACACCGTTCACCTGATTTGGATGTAAATACCCTCAAATTAAAGCTGACAGTCTGCAGTTAAAGCACATCTTGTTTGTTTCATTTCAAATCCATTGTGGTGGTGTATAGAGCCAAAAATGTTAGAATTGTGTCGATGTCCCAATATTTATGGACCTGACTGTATCTCCTGAACCATTCAAGTGTATATGACATGTTTCATCTCTAACCATTCCGCAGATGCAGCTGAGTATTAATATACTAGTGGCCAGGCTGGCAAATGCCCCGAGAATGAGTCCTGAATCATAATAGCAGCTATGAGAGCTTCTAGTCATAACTTAGGGCTCCACCTACACCCCCCTCCCCAAAAGGAGACGATTGGTGTACTGCTCCAGGGAGGCACCCAGTGGAGATACTAGAAAAGCTGAGCTAAGGGGTAGGAAGAGAAGAGTCCCCTGTCTTAACATCGAAACTGACAGTGGGAGACAAGAAATCCTTTTGGTTTATGAAACTTGAAGCTGCTTAACCCAAGGCTGATTGGCAAGTACTTTAACCCTCTAAACTCCTGTTATCTCTTTGCTGTGCTATTGATCTCTGTATGTGTGTATATACACACACACACACATACATACATACATACATACACACACACACACACACACACACACACACACACACACACACATATATATATATATATACACAGTGGGGATGGAAAGTTTGGGCACCCCAGCTAAACATTTGTATTAATGTGCATAAAGAAGCCAAGGAAAGATGGAAAAATCTCCAAAAGGCATCAAATTACAGATTAGACATTCTTATAATATGTCAACAAAAGTTAGATTTTATTTCCATCATTTACACTTTCAAAATAAAAGAAAAAAAAAAATGGCGTCTGCAAAAGTTTGGGCACCCCTGCAGAGTTTATAGCATGCACTGCCCCCTTTGCCAAGCTGAGACCTGCCAGTGTCATGGATTGTTCTCAATCATCGTCTGGGAAGACCAGGTGATGTCAATCTCAAAGGTTTTTAATGCCCCGACTCCTCTGACCTTGCCCCAACAATCAGCACCATGGGTTCTTCTAAGCAGTTGTCTAGAAAACTGAAACTGAAAATAGTTGACGCTCACAAAGCTGGAGAAGGCTATAAGAAGATAGCAAAGCGTTTTCAGATGTCAATATCCTCTGTTCGGAATGTAATTAAGAAATGGCAGTCATCAGGAACAGTGGAAGTTAAAGCAAGATCTGGAAGACCAAGAAAAATATCAGACAGAACAGCTTGCAGGATTGTGAGAAAAACAATTCAAAACCCACGTTTGACTGCACGATCCCTCCAGAAAGATCTGGCAGACACTGGAGTTGTGGTCACTATTCCACTATAAAGAGATACTTGTACAAATATGGTCTTCATGGAAGAGTCATCAGAAGAAAACCTCTTCTACGTCCTCACCACAAAAATCATCGTTTGAACTTTGCAAATGAACATATAGACAAGCCGGATGCATTTTGGAAACAAGTTCTGTGGACCGATGAGGTTAAAATTGAACTTTTTGGCCGGAATGAGCAAAGGTACGTTTGGAGAAGAAGGGGCACAGAATTGAATGAAAAGAACCTCTGTCCAACTGTGAAGCATGGGGTTGGATCAATCATACTTTGGGGTTGTGTTGCAGCCAGTGGCACAGGGAACATCTCACGAGTAGAAGGAAAAATGGATTCAATAAAATTTCAGCAAATTTTGGATGGTAACTTGATGCCATCTGTGAAAAAGCTGAAGTTAAAGAGAGGATAGCTTCTACAAATGGATAATGATCCTAAACACACCTCGAAATCCACGGGGGATTACATCAAGAGGCGTAAACTGAAGGTTTTGCCATGGCCTTCACAATCTCCTGACCTCAACATCATTGAAAATCTATGGATAGACCTTAAAAAGAGCCGTGCGTGACAGACAGCCCAGAAATCTCACAGAACTGGAAGACTTTTGTAAGGAAGAATGGGCAAAGATACCTCAAACAAGAACTGAAAGACTCTTGGCTGGCTACAAAAAGCGTTTACAAGCTGTGATACTTGCCAAAGGGGGCAGTACAAGATATTAACTCTGCAGGGGGCCCAAACTTTTGCAGACGCCATTTTTTTGTTTTCTGTTATTTTGAAAGTGTAAATGATGGAAATAAAATCTAACTTTTGTTGACATATTATAAGAATGTCTAATCTGTAATTTGATGCCTTTTGGAGATTTTCCCATCTTTCCTTGGCTTCTTTATGCACATTAATACAAATTTTTAGCTGGGGTGCCCAAACTTTCGATCCCCACTGTGTATGTATATATATATATATATATATATATATATATATATATATATATATATATATATATATATATATGCATACACACACATATATACACACATATATACATACACACACACATATATACACACACACATATACATACACACACACACACACACACACATATATATACACACATACACACACACACACACACATATATATACACACATATATACATACACACACACACACACATATATATATATATATATATATATATATATATATATAATATACACACACACACACACACACACACACACATATATACATACACACAATACACACATATATACACACACACACACATATATATACACACATATATACACACACACACATATATATACACACATATATACACATATATATACACACACATACATACACACACACATATATATACACACACACATATATATATATATACACACACACACATATATACACATATATATACACATATATACATATACATACACATATATATACACATACATACACATATATACATATATATATTTTTGGTTACATCTTTTTTTCTGTAAATATTTTTATTGCACCCTTTTCACCTTTAATAAATCTTACTTTCTGAAAGTGTTGAACTGTTTCTAAAGCTCTTTAATGCAAATTACGAATTCCTGCCACTGAAGAGCGCTACTGTGTGTTTAACCCTCTGTATAACCGGCCTGCGGTGACAGTGCTATACAGACAATTATTTCAACCATCATAGTGTTATTGCTGATATCGCCGAGTTTCCTCTTTTTCTGTATAAAAAAAAAAAAAAAAAAAAAAAAAAAAAAAAAAAAAAAAAAAAAAGGTGGTGACAGTGTGAACGGTTAATTGCGGAATTAACCTGACCCAGTAAGAATCGCGCTCAGGCTGCCGGTACATCGATTTTGGTCCATTAGCTGGAAAATCGTTGTGCAGGGTGCAGCTGGGTGTGGCATTGTTATGCACGTGACATCCCAGTTTTAGATTGGCTAGTCCTTCAGTCACGAGTTTGGTGAGAAGGGCTGGGGTCTGACATTGCGCCCGTCACACCGGACACTTCAAGTGCGATGAAACGTCTGGAGCCGGACCCCTCAGGTGCGATGAAACGTCTGGAGCCGGACCCCTCAGGTGCGATGAAACGTCTGGAGCCGGACCCCTCAGGTGCGATGAAACGTCTGGAGCCGGACCCCTCAGGTGCGATGAAACGTCTGGAGCCGGACCCCTCAGGTGCGATGAAACGTCTGGAGCCGGACCCCTCAGCTGCGATGAAACGTCTGGAGCCGGACCCCTCAGCTGCGATGAAACGTCTGGAGCCGGACCCCTCAGCTGCGATGAAACGTCTGGAGCCGGACCCCTCAGCTGCGATGAAACGTCTGGAGCCGGACCCCTCAGCTGCGATGAAACGTCTGGAGCCGGACCCCTCAGCTGCGATGAAACGTCTGGAGCCGGACCCCTCAGCTGCGATGAAACGTCTGGAGCCGGACCCCTCAGGTGCGATGAAACGTCTGGAGCCGGACCCCTCAGGTGCGATGAAACGTCTGGAGCCGGACCCCTCAGGTGCGATGAAACGTCTGGAGCCGGACCCCTCAGGTGCGATGAAACGTCTGGAGCCGGACCCCTCAGGTGCGATGAAACGTCTGGAGCCGGACCCCTCAGGTGCGATGAAAAGTCTGGAGCCAGACCCCTCAGGTGTGAGTTAAGCTCTTGCCTCCCCTGGTCTGAAGTCCATATAGATGTGTGCAGCAGTCTGCCGAAGGTGCCGGGATGCTGATGGCACATCAAAGAGTACAAGACTGTGAGAGGCCTCGGGAGGCTGAAACGTGTCGGGAGGCTTTTATCCGGAAGGTTTGTATTCCTTTGATGAAATAAAGAGTTATTCAACATATACTCACTTGGCTGCCGACTTTACAACACTTGTCGCCAGGCACGGTGAGCGCACAAAGTCTGCGCTTTACATATGGTATTGGGGTGTAGCATCAGAACCTTTTATGTTTGATAGTTACTACACACTGCCCTATGCCCCGCACATGTGCCCTGCCTCTCGCCCTACATTTCACACCCGGACGTGTGCCCTGCCTCTCGCCCTACATTTCACACCCGGGACGTGTGCCCTGCCTCCCCTACATTTCACACTGTGCCCTGCCTCTCGCCCTCCATCTTTTAGAACGGTCACTCTGACAAAGGTCACACCCTTATCAGTGCTGTCATTGGCTGACTTCACCCCGGTGGCCCTGGACATTCTGCAGCTGTTTGCACAGCTTGCGCCATCACCTAAGATAAAGGAGAACTCCTGCAATGTGATTATCAGATACTGCAAATGTATCCCTCACATGGGATGTGTGTGTGCACTGAGAACACGAGTGTGCATGACTTCCACCACGGACTCCGCCCATCTGTGCATTATAGAGATCACATGACTCCCAACACCCCTCACACAAACGGGAAACTCCGCTCCTAGGGTGTCATCTATACACGGTGTCTCATGGGTCTCACACACCACATTCTGCATTGGAATCCTTCCATGTGTACAGAACAAACATGACCAGAGCCAACCAGAGTGACAACCGGATCTCCCCTCCCCCATCACTCACCACCCGCCCCGAGAACACATACCAAGAATTACCAGACAGAAGTGGGACTGTGCAGAGTCCATACATACAGAATAGGGACAGATACCGGGAATGACACCTGGCATCCGGGACAGGGGAAGTGGGACTGTGCAGAGTCCATACATACAGAGCAGGGACAGATACCGAGAATGACACCTGGCATCCGGGACAGGGGAAGTGGGACTGTGCAGAGTCCATACATACAGAGCAGGGACAGATACCGAGAATGACACCTGGCATCCGGGACAGGGAAGTGGGACCGTGCAGAGTCCATACATACAGAGCAGGGACAGATACCGAGAATGACACCTGGCATCCGGGACAGGAGAAGTGGGACTGTGCAGAGTCCATACATACAGAATGGGGACAGATACCGAGAATGACACCCGGTATCCAGACAGGAGAAGTGGGACTACGCAGAGTCCATACATACAGAATAAGGACAGATACCGAGAATGACACCCGGCATCCGGGACAGGAGAAGTGGGACTGTGCAGAGTCCATACATACAGAATGAGGACAGATACCGAGAATGACACCCGGTATCCAGGACAGGAGAAGTGGGACTACGCAGAGTCCATACATACAGAATAAGGACAGATACCGAGAATGACACCCGGCATCCAGGACAGGAGAAGTGGGACTGTGCAGAGTCCATACATACAGAATGGGGACAGATACCGAGAATGACATCCGGCATCCAGGACAGAAGTGGGACTGTGCTGGTGATATAACAGGAAATGAGGGGAAGTGTCCCCATTGGAAGGTTTTGCCAACTTCCTGTCCCAGAGTGACACACAGATATCCCCCATGATGGTGGTTTGTCCTGATATGATGAAGTGGGGGAGAATGAAGAATTCTGGCAGTGAAGAGTGTGGGGCTATGAAGGGCCCCTGGTGGGTTCAAACTGGGGGTCCCAATACTGCAGTCCATACAGCAGAGGACAAGAGGTTAACAGAGGAGTGATGAACTTCCCAGGATGCCAAAATATGTTCTGTTGGCTTCACAGCAGACTAGCTCTGGCCTCCGCCTGTACGCCGCATATTTCTGTCATGAGCAGACTATGCACTCCAACCCCCACCTCACATACTGCACACAGTGCAACAAGATGAGTGAGACTCCCGATGGGGGGGGGGGGGGATATGGTGCGTGGTGGTATTGTACTGAGGACTGCCACAAGATGAGTGAGACTCCTGGGGGGTGTACTGTACTGAAAACTGCCACAAGATGAGTGAGACTCCTGGGGGGTGTACTGTACTGAGGACTGCCACAAGATGAGTGAGACTCCTGGGGGGTGTACTGTACTGAGGACTGCCACAAGATGAGTGAGACTTCTGGGGGGTGTACTGTACTGAGGACTGCCACAAGATGAGTGAGACTTCTGGGGGGTGTACTGTACTGAGGACTGCCACAAGATGAGTGAGACTCTGGGGGGTGTACTGTACTGAGGACTGCCACAAGATGAGTGAGACTCCTGGGGGGTGTACTGTACTGAGGACTGCCACAAGATGAGTGAGACTTCTGGGGGGTGTACTGTAGGGAGGACTGCCCACAAGATGAGTGAGACTTCTGGGGGGTGTACTGTACTGAGGACTGCCACAAGATGAGTGAGACTCCTGGGGGGTGTACTGTACTGAGGACTGCCACAAAATGAGTGAGACTTCTGGGGGGTGTACTGTAGGGAGGACTACAACAATGCAAATGAGACTCCCGGAGTGTAAACCTCAAATGTTCATATTCTTGTAGTCCGTTCAGCCAGAACTCCTGTCCAGGAGCTGAGCAGGACACAGACTCCCCACAAGGTCCATTCCCACACCGTAATACAGACGGCGCTCAGGGGTGGAGAAGTTCAATGGCCCCCATTCTGAGCATTTCCAGAGAAGGACTGGAACCGAAACGCTGATCTGAAGGCAGTCCGGACCTCAATCCTGTGAGATTCTGTGAAAGACTGGAAAGAGCCGCTCAATGCTGCTTACCTAACGCGACAACCTAAAATATCCGGAACTCTTGCCGTAAAATATGGCGTATGGTACAAGACAAAGGCTGCTGTAATCAAAGACCACCATAGGGAGACGCGGCCACCGGCAAAGTGTATTGTGGGACATCCATATAGCCCCTCCCATTCCCATCAATCGTCTGTTTTGGAGCAAGCCGCCAGGACGGAGGGGGCTGGGGTCCTGTGTTATTCTAGGTATCACAGGCAAGTCAAAAATCCCCATTTCTGCGTTTGATTTACAGAACTTCAAAAAGGTGCAGAAGATTGTCACGGGATTGAAGTGTGAGCTGTGTGCAGATCATACTGTACAGGACATTCATAGGCTCTTTTAATCACAGACCCCGGGAGGGCTACCCCCAGCAGTAGAACAGAGGAAGGCAACAATGCCAACATGCACTGAAACAAAGGAGTCAGGTCCTGAACACAAAGGAGTGCCTTAAAGCACAGCAAGGCTGAAGCAGAAGCATGAACATCCACCTGGTAGAGCTTCAATAAACGTGTGGCCCGAGGACCTGGTGGAAGCTTTGCCAGTCTAAGAAACAGATACCTGATGCTAAAAAGCCAAAGCAGTACTGACTGAATGAGTCAGGAAAGGGAAAAACCTTGTTCTACACTCTGCCGAATCCACCTACAACTGTTGGAACGAGACAAATGGCACCCCTTGTGAGAACTGAATGTACGTATCACAGTCAAACACCCGAGGGAAATATCTCTTTAGAGTCGGAGAAAAGAATAGTCAGGAGAAGGTCCTGATTCAGGTAAAAAGAGAAGAAGACTTCTTCCAAAGTATCAAAACCACCTTGTGCTTGTCCACACAGCTCCGATATACCAACATGAAAACCAAAACACCACCTTACAAAAGAGGGTAACCAAGCACATTTATTTCAGCTAAAAGATACGGTTCTAAAGAGTCGAGAAGAACACATTACGTTCCCACAATGACACAGGTACAGATGGAGCTATGTGAGATAATCCATGAACAAACATCTTTACCAGACCATGAGCAGCCAGAGCTCTGAAAGAAAACAGTCAAGGCTCAAACTAGACCCTAGGGGTAATCAAGTGCTGGTGCAAAGCCAGGATACGTTCCATGGAGTAATAGCTATGGTAGAACCTTAGTTCCTTGCATTATGAGAAGTAAACCTAAGTGTGATGACAGATGTTCAGCAAGGTCAACTTCCTAGCCTTTAGAAGCATGAGAGTCATAGAGGTTCCTTCAGGACCTGGGCTTCAAAACAGCCAAACTATCAAAGCCAGTGACTGTGATACAGGCTAGACCAGCCCCTGAGACAGCAGGTCAGATAGAACGTGCCCATGAATAGTCCCCCCAGGAGTCAGAGAAAGTCTGGGGTCAACAGTGCATCCACTGAGAAGGCCAGAGGATCCATGGACCGGTCCATCTGGCTGTTTAAGTGGGATGCCATGAGTTCCACCTCTAGGGTCCTTGAATGGTGAGGGATGTCCTGTAACACTTCAGGTGCACCATTGAAGGGATGGATAAATGGCACTTCGTTCCAGAGAAATCTGGACTACCATGTTTCCATCCCTAGGACTCCACCCCAGTTAATAGAGAAAGCACTTCCCCAATTCCAGTGCAGGACTGGTCAGCTGGCAGGTCAACAATATCCTGGCCTTGGGAGACAGGTACATGGGCTAACCCACAGAGAAAGCTTACCCCATGTAGTCAGCACAATGAGCTACAGAGGTCTGGAGAGAAAATGAGCAAAAATCAATTAACAATGCTGCCATCAGACCTAGCACTCTCATACAAAAGCAGACAAATGGAAGCTTCTTAGAGTGAAGGGTCCAAATATGAGTCATGTCCAGGACTAGGCCCAGATACTCCAACCAATGGACCAAATCCAATGCAGACTTCTGGAGGTTGAGGATCCTCCAGAAGTTTAGACATGTCTGCATTATCCACTGTACATTGGCAGAAAAGGCTGATGTAGGTGGGAAAAAAAAAAAAGTAAAAATGCATATTTGATGACCATCAATACTAAAAAAAATGCCCCCTGTTGAAGCCCAATTCCATCCAGAATATTTAGGTCTGCAGGAAGGCATAGATAGCCTTCAAATCCACAGGGTGCACACCCCTTTTGGGTAATAGACCAGTAGATGTTGAAATAAATCCCTTTCTTGAGGCAGCCTACAAAGTTCTCCTGTGGTGGTACTGGGTCCCGGCTCGGACTGCTCACTTTAATCCGACTGGAGGAGATAGGAGTTTCCGGAACTGTGGTCTATGTGGGGACGTCTTGCACATTTGGTGGTCATGCCCGCGACTGATAGGCTTCTGGTCCAGGGTTTTTGGTTTGCTACAAACGCTTTTTCATACTACGGTCCATAGGGATAAAAGGGTGGCCCTCCTGCATTGCCCAATTTTGGGTCTGTCTAGGTCTCAACAGAAATTGGCATCCTACCTATTCATTCATTTCGGCCAAACGTGCTATAGCTCAAGCTTGGAGAACCCCTTCGGTAGTCTTCCAGGGGGCGAGGACCCTGTTGAATGCTGTTCAATGAACAGATGTCCAGCATTCTTCATGATTCTCATCCGAGATTCCTTAAGGTTTGGGAACCTTGGATACGTTATTCGTTATTCATTACCATCCCTGCCTCCTACTAGTTATGGCCTCCTGTAGTCGCTGCCTGTGCTAGCCCCAGATCCGTGATCCCTCTAGTTTCCCCTCTTTCATGGTTTCTTTCGGATTGCCTTTTGTTTTATTTTAATTCACCTTCTTTTCTTTTCTCTTTTTTTTCCGATATTATGTTGGATTACTGCTGCTATTTGGTTCGGCCTTTGCCGTCCCTTATTGATGTCATTGGACATTTTGTTATTTGACGAATACAAGTCAGCAGGATGTCTATGTGTTATTGTTCTGCTCTGCCCCTGCAAGGGCATATTTTGAGCTTGTTATATTCTTAAAAACAAAACTTTCTAAATAAAAATATTGAAACTGAAATAATTCCCTTAAAACTATTCCTCTGAAGGAACCGAAACAAAACACTCCTAAGTGAAACTGCCGCAAGGCAATGTGAAGGTTTGTGACCCCATGACCCCAGTGCAGAAGCAGGCAGATATGAGGGCAGATCGGAAAGGACACACAGGGAGGAGGCGAGAACTATCGCAAGTGGATGAAAACTGATGCAACTTACACTTTTTTTCATCCTGCAGCCTTGAGCAGCACAGGAAACTTCCTCAGTCTCCCAACACAGGTGCCTACAATTTCTCTCTAGTTACAACTGAGAACGGAGGGGTATCCTGAGCAGATAAGGAGGGACTTTGTGGACTTGGGGAAGGCATACCTCTACAGAGGGGGTCTTCAGGAACTAGATTACACCAGTGTTGATTGCCACTGCCCTGGACCTATTGTACACCCTGGTACTAACTGCATCTTGCTGTACCGATGTACCAAGAGCAAGCGCCAAGGGTGGCCCAGTGGCCAACCCTATGTCTTTATGCCACAAGTCTGGTCCCTAAATCTTGCTGAGGGGCACCAATCCAAAAGCTGCAGGACGTAGCCTGTGTCCTGTACACATAGGAAATCCAAATGTCATTCCAGATTATAAGTAGTTCCAGGTAGGGGACATGTATACACCCCCTTCATATGTACCTGTGGTACTTGTACACATTAGGATTTAGGGTGTTGAGCCATATGTTAATCATGTGAGGCCGGCCAAACGGTAATGGGTTAGGTCAGAGGCAGCAGTCATGGAGGTAACACCTAGGAGAACGCTTCTGATTTATCATGTCTATAGTGTAGAAACCAGAATCCCAGTGCCACAAGCATCGTTACCTTGGCCAGGATTACATTTATGTTTCTAAACACATCATACATGTTACAGTTAACAGTGATGTGAGCTCAGACTACATCAACACCACAAGAATGGATCGTATGCATGGAGATCACACCACAATGACTTCATAATACTGATAGAAATGGTCACTCCTACCTGTTGAGGTTGGCAACTCTCTTGCGGTAGTTGCGGATGGCTTCATGGGGATCCAGCAGCAGGTCCTGGGTTGGAGGTCTGGGCTCCTGTACCTGGTACAGTGGGTGTGAGAAGAGGTCCTGCAATTTGGAACCTCTGGATACCGATGCTGGTTCTGTAGTACCGGGGTCTGTTGGCCTTGGTGTGGCTTCTGCGGTATTGGGGACTGCAGACCTTGAGGCTGGCACTGTGCTGTTCCGAGTTTGGCAGTTGCAGTCCCGGATGAGTCTGCTCTGAATTTCTGGCCACAAGTGGAAGTAAAAGTCAGCTGCCAGGATGGCAGAAAACGCCAGGAGCAAGAGGAGTCTACCCCTGCGGAGCAACATGGGGACAGAGGATGGCACAGCGACTGAGGGCCTGGTGAGAAGGGAATGTGGAAGGCAAGGTGTTTCTGGGAACTGGTGGGTCGCGTCACAGCGTGGAGATGGGAGCTGGTGGGTCACGTCACAGTGCGGAGCAGGGAACCGGGAAGGGGGGGTCGTGGCGGAGCAGGGAACCGGGAAGGGGGGGGGTCGTGTCACAGCATGGAGCAGGGAACGGGGGGGGTCACAGAGTGGAGCAGGGAACGGGGGGGGGGGGTCACAGTGTGGAGTTGGGCACCCGTGGGTCGGGTCACAGTGTGGAGTTGGGCACCCGTGGGTCGGGTCACAGTGTGGAGTTGGGCACCCGTGGGTCGGGTCACAGTGTGGAGTTGGGCACCCGTGGGTCGGGTCACAGTGTGGAGTTGGGCACCCGTGGGTCGGGTCACAGTGTGGAGTTGGGCACCCGGGTCACAGTGTGGAGTTGGGCACCCGTGGGTCGGGTCACAGTGTGGAGTTGGGCACCCGTGGGTCGGGTCACAGTGTTTGAGTTGGGCACCCGTGGGTGGGTCACAGTGTGGAGTTGGGCACCCGTGGGTCGGGTCACAGTGTGGAGTTGGGCACCCGAGGGTCGGGTCACAGTGTGGAGTTGGGCACCCGTGGGTCGGGTCACAGTGTTTGGTTGGCTATTCTACCTGGAAGACTACTATCGCCTGCATTTTTTTCAGTACACTGCCACATTGTACAGTATAAAGATCTCTATACCCCCACACACTGCACCCCCCCAATCTCTATACCCCCCACGCTACACCCCCCAATCTCTATACCCCCACGCTACACCCCCCCCAATCTCTATACCCCCCACGCTGCACCCCCCAATCTCTATGCCCCCACGCTGCATCTCTATGCCCCCCACGCTGCACCCCCCAAATCTCTATACCCCCACACACTATCCCCCCCCCCCACGCTGCACACCCCCCAATCTCTATACCCCCACCCCCCACCCCTACTGGCTACACCCCCCCAATCTCTATACCCCCCCCCCCCGCTACACACCCCCCCCCCCCCCCACGCTGCACACCCCATCTATACCCCCCCCCACGCTGCACACCCCCCCCCTCTATGCCCCCCCCCACGCTGCACACCCCCAATCTCTATGCCCCCCCCCACGCTGCACACCCCAATCACTCTATGCCCCCCCACGCTGCACACCCCAAATCTCTATACCCCCCCCCCCACGCTGCACACCCCGATCACTATCCCCCCCCCCACGCTGCACACCCCGATCACTATACCCCCCCCCCACGCTGCACACCCCGATCACTATACCCCCCCCCCCACGCTGCACACCCCGATCACTATACCCCCCCCCCCACGCTGCACACCCCGATCACTATACCCCCCCCCACGCTGCACACCCCGATCACTATACCCCCCCCCCCCCCGATCACTATACCCCCCCCCACGCTGCACACCCCGATCACTATACCCCCCCACGCTGCACACCCCGATCACTATACCCCCCCACGCTGCACACCCCGATCACTATACCCCCCCCACGCTGCCCACTATAGACAATACACACCCTGCACTAACCTGAAGTGTGCACAGTGCAGACAGCAGAGTAGATTCAGCACTGACACTCCTCTCCTGAACTCTGTGTACACATTGTGCGCCCTGCCCACTGCACAACCCCTCACCTGCCCTGTCACCCTCAACTGACACCACTTAACCCTTCACATCCTGGACTATTCTCCACTAGGAAGGATTTTTTTCCCGAGGAGCAAATTGAATCGTGTTGTGTTGGTTTTGTTGGCTTCCTCTGGATCAGCTGTTAGTGAATTATAACTTTTTTTTTTTTTAAATGGTGGAACTGGATGGACTTTTGTCTTTTTTCAGCCAGACTAACTATGTATGAGCACAAGAGCCAAATCATCACTCTCTAGAGGAATTCTGCAGAGTATTCCATCACTGACCCCTCTAGAGATCTGCAGAACACATCGCTCCCTCCCCTCCCGACAGATCCATATTGATATATTCTGCAGATTATTCCATCACTGACCTCTCTAGGGATCTGGAACATCGCTCCCTCCCCTATCCTGACAGATCCATATTGATATATTCTGCAGATTATTCCATCACTGACCTCTCTAGGGATCCATTCGCTCCCTCCCCTGACAGATCCATATTGATATATTCTGCAGATTATTCCATCACTGACCTCTCTAGGGATCTGCAGAACATCGCTCCCTGCCCCTCCTGACAGATCCATATTGATATATTCCATCACTGACCCCTCTAGAGATCTGCGGAGCATCGCTCCGTCCCCTCCCCCACCTGACAGATCCATATTGATATATTCTGCAGATTATTCCATCACTGACCTCTCTAGAGATCTGCAGAACATCGCTCCCTCCCCTCCTGACAGATCCATATTGGTATATTCTGCAGATTATTCCATCACTGACCTCTCTAGAGATCTGCAGAACATCGCTCCCTCCCCTCCTGACAGATCCATATTGGTATATTCTGCAGATTATTCCATCACTGACCTCTCTAGAGATCTGCGGAGCATCGCTCCGTCCCCTCCCCCACCTGACAGATCCATATTGATATATTCTGCAGATTATTCCATCACTGACCTCTCTAGAGATCTGCAGAACATCGCTCCCTCCCCTCCTGACAGATCCATATTGGTATATTCTGCAGATTATTCCATCACTGACCTCTCTAGAGATCTGCAGAACATCGCTCCCTCCCCTCCTGACAGATCCATATTGATCCATTTTGCAGATTATTCCATCACTGACCTCTCTGCAGAACATTGCACCAGGACTGTTCATTGTAGAGGATGGGAATCCTAGCGGTACAAGTAACTTCCAATGATATGTGAATGTTGGACTGATTAGCGAAACGCTTATAAAGAATGTCCAGTTTCTGTTCTACAGAGCCCCCTGGGGGATGAATGGTGTGACTGCATGTACAGATTTAACCTTTTGAAGATCCTTTGCCAGGTTTTGAGCCCCCCTGTGACCCATCTAAGTAGGTTCCAGGAGGTTCTGCATGTCATTTCTTCTAGGTTTATGCCTTGGGTTTGGTCATTTCCATTAGGCTTGTGTGGATAAGCCATTTGCTACAATGCAGGTTTGTTGCACGTTGTCCTGCATTGACCTGCTGCTTTCAGAGAAGGAAGGGTTAACACTGCTGGTCAGGTTGTCCCACGCTTTTCAGGAAGGTTAACGCCCCCTTATAGGTCATACCATATAAATAGGGGCTCATTAGTGCCTCTAAGAAGTCAGCTAGGGGAAAGCTTGCCAAGATAGAGTCGTTATGCAGTTGGGGTGTTGGACCCCTTGGAAAAGAGGAAGCAGCGCGCCCAGTCAGGGTTCCCAATAGGGTATGGAGATACTGAATCTATATGGACTTGTGCAGTTGGACCCCTTGGGGAAGGGGAACCCAGTCAGGGTTCCCAATAGGGTATGGAGATACTGAATCTATATGGATTTGTGCAGTTGGACCCCTTGGGGAAGGGGAACCCAGTCAGGGTTCCCAATAGGGTATGGAGATACTGAATCTATATGGACTTGTGCAGTTGGACCCCTTGGGGAAGGGGAACCCAGTCAGGGTTCCCAATAGGGTATGGAGATACTGAATCTATACGGACTTGTGCAGTTGGACCCCTTGGGGAAGGGGAACCCAGTCAGGGTTCCCAATAGGGTATGGAGATACTGAATCTATACCTTGTGCAGTTGGACCCCTTGGGGAAGGGGAACCCAGTCAGGGTTCCCAATAGGGTGTGGAGATACTGAATCTATATGGACTTGTGCTAAGTTAACAGAAGCCAGTGTATGGATTATTGCTACCTTGCAAATTACTGCCAGATTTGGTCTCCTGCATTGAAAAGGTCTCTATGGGACTTAAGACCTCCTCATCCAGGTAAGATTGCCTCAGGGGGCACTAGAGAACTTTGTACAGGAACATGTATGGAAGACGTCTTTGAGAACAGTTCCTTTGTTACCTGTAACTACTTCAGTAAAAGATCTTTATTGTTCTTCTAATCTGCCTGGTCTAAAGGCTCCAAATAGGTGCATGTAAGGTGTATCCAAAAAACAGGACTTCTATCAGAGGACTGAAGAGGTTAGAAAAGATACAGTACAGAGGTCCAACAAGCAGAGAAGCTGTCCTGAGGAAGCTTTATTGCCATAACTACCATATGTGTGTCACACTGCTAAAGCAGCCAACCAGCCAGGAAACTGGTGACATGGCAGGGGTGATGGATACCCTAGTAATGAAGGTTTTATGCTTGGCCCCTTCACTAGCAATGTGTTCCCCACATACTGGGATCGACCTCAGGAGTACCTGGGGACCTAGCCTGGAATCACTGAAAGAGCAGTGGAGGGGGCCCCAGGAGGAGAACAAGCACAGATTTTTTGAGAAGGGTTTCCTGCATCCATTAGCAACAGATGGAACATGGATCTGAGGCAATGGGACTGCTGAGTTAGTGGAGACCAGTACATGTTCTGCGGTACCAGCTCGGAAATGCTGCACACACCTGAGGAGAAGTGTTCTCAGAAGTTGTGTCGACCATGCACAACACTGAGGTCCAGACCTCCCTCTAACAACACGCACCAAGGGATCTCACTCCTTAAATATGACCCTCCACAATGTAGAAAATACTCCTGGCCTCTCTCTACCTTTTGATTACTATAGGAGTGGTCATCAGCATATAGGAGAGCCAGTTGGTAGTAACTGATAAAGGTGAAGAAGCCTGAACACTTGCTCAGCAGTAATAATTACTTGGGCCCTGAGAGGAACATACTAACAAGGAAGCTCTACCTTTTCAGGCCTCATGAATTTCCAGAATTTCTGAACTGACCCAACAAGCAATTTAGAACTTAGAAGTGTGTCAACCCTTTGCTTGCCTTGAAAAACCATACAAACAATGCTAATGTGCTGCAGCCTCCAGGTAGAGGTGTAATAATCCCCTGACAAACACAGAGATTCTGCTTATGCCTGAAGATTAAATC